TTTTGTTCTTCGCTAAAGAGTACAGATCTCTTCAGAGTAATATTAATAAGCTCAGGGTGATGGAAGTAAATAATAATAAACATTATCAGCCTCAGTTCCCAGAGCATCAGAATAAGGATTGGTGTCTCTGAATGGTGGCGAAGAGTTGTTTGTGATCCCTGTTTCTTTCTCATCCTCTTTGGATATTCTTCATAAGGCAAGTTGAACAAATCCCTCCAAACCCAAGTTAAATACATAACAATTACGAAAAGAAAATGCTATTGTGGGTTTGTTTTACTTTCAGTAGACAGATTTGATCATTGATCTCACTAAAGAGGCAGTTTTTGTAATACACCTTCATGTTTGTTCTCCGGGACGCTAACTGGGGTAAAGTCCATGCAGCTGTGCTTCCGTTGATGCCCTGGATGTACTTACTAGGAGAACTGTGAAGAGAAAAGATGTAGAGATGAACTCCAGTGACTACTGGGCTGGTTTCTCCAAAGATGCTCTGCACTGTCACTTGTATTTTAGGTACTTTGGTGTTTTAAGTGACTTTTAATTCCATCTTATGTTTCTCCTTCAATCAGCTGATTGCCTGGATAGGGCATTGCCCAGATCGTTGGTGTTATAAGATGATATGCATGTGGAGCTAGCCAATGTTGTAATATATCGGAAGGTGACAAAGAGAACAAGATATTAGATGTACTCAGAGGGTCTGGTTAGTGAGGACTAGAGGGAGATGTAGTAACTAAGGGTGATAGCATGTTTGGGGAGTTTCTCCAAATGTTAAATCACTGTTCCATATACATTAGTCTATTTATTGGTTATTTGGCCTCACAACAGGCAGCAATATTAAGCTGAGAAAACCACTAGATTTGGCAGGGGAAATCAGATTTTCAGTGAGTAGGTTAGGATTTATGACAGCGGTAGTGCTTATGAAGTGTAGTGCAAAGACTAGGTAGCCGTCATAGAGGGGGACTCCTTACAAATATTTTGAATACTTTGAATATTGCTCATCTTTGAATATTACTGTCTTTGGACTTCTGATGGTTGAGAAAGTAATAGAGTGGGTAGACCTCCAAGTGAACAGAATCTTGTAGGATAAACCTACTCACCTAAGTGAGTAGATCAGGAAATTTTTAATTTTTAAACTTAGGCAGAGGAAGACCTTTTCCTCCCCATGTCGCTCCAAAGCACTGAGGGCTATAAAGTGGCCAAAGGTAATGAGAGAAGATCATGGAATTTGGTGAGAGGAGCTGACTATTAGAGTACATTTAGTGCAAGTTGGCTAGAAAGTGGGTGGGGTAATAAAGCTGCAGTAGGCTTGAGAAAGGGCGATATGCATATTGGACCATGAGGAACAGGCTTGGAAAGAAAAGAAAATGGTCTTTATATAAGCTGAATAAAGTCTTAGTGTATTAAAACCCAGACAGTACAGTCCCAGCACCCCAAAGAAGTTGCTTGTGCTGAGCCTTTGTTGTCAGACTCCCCTCCATCCCAATCTCTGGCAGCCATTCCTATAGCTTTTCCTTTTCAGGGTGTCATAAAACTGGAGTCACACATAGTGGGAAAGACTGATTTCTTTCACTTGGCATAATGCCTGCTGCATGTACATTTAAAATGCATTTTAAAATGCAAAGAGTCCTTGCCCCTGTCCCCCACCCAAACAAATAAAACAGGAAGGAATCTGAGAAGATAGATATACAGAAAGGTAACTTAGGAACATACTGAGATGTAAACAGATATTTACCTCCTGAGGACTGTTTCATTTTCTAGTGAAATTAGGTGAGCTTCTTGGCTTTAAGTAAGTGGTGGAAAGGTTAGAGAGGAAGTGACCTTGACCACTTAAGTGTTTCCTTTTTCTTTTTTTGAGACAGAGTCTCGCTCCGTTGCCTAGGCTGGAGTGCAGTGGCACCATCTTGGCTCACTGCAGCCTCTGCCTCCCTGGTTCAAGCAATTCTCTTGCCTCAGCCTCCTGAGTAGCTGGGGTTACAGGTGTGTGCCACCACACTTAGCTAATTGTTTGTATTTTTAGTAGAAATGGGGTTTCACCATGTTGACCATGTTGGTTTTGAACTCCTGACCTCCGGTGATCCACCTGCCTCAGCCTCCCAAAGTGCTGGGATTACAGACAGACGTGAGCCATCGCACCCAGCCTAAGTGTTTTCTTAAACTAGCCTTCTTTCCTTTTTGACCTTTTTCACTTCCCCTTTCTCCCCTGGTTTGGTGGTGGGAAAGATAAATACACACACACACACACACACACACACACAAATGTGTGTGTGTGTATATATATATGTATATATATCTCCATTTTCATGGCATAACAATTTTATGTTTTTGTTCCTGCACTCTAGAAATGGTGCTTTTACTATCGAAAGAGCATATGCAAATATCTTACTTTCTTATGCCCTCTCTTCTAAAGAGGACATCCACACATATCAGATTCTAACTTTAGCTGGAGTTGAGGGCTGTCAGATGACGTGTGGTGGTACCGGGATGTGATATAATCTAGAGCCATATACTTGTGTTTCAACCGGGGATTTATTTTTACTAAATTTTTCTTTATAAATTTTTGTATTGCTTTCCTTGCTACTGATAGAAATTTAAAAGTTAAGAATTAAAAATGATTAAATAGGGCTGGATGTGGTGGCTCACACCTGTAATCCCAGCACTTTGGGAGGCCAAGGTGGGCAGATCACAAGGTCAGGAGATTGAGACCATCCTGGCTAACATAGTGAAACCCTGTCTCTACTAAAAATACAAAACATTAGCCAGGCGTGGTGGCGTGTGCCTGTAGTCCCAGCTACCTGGGAGGCTGAGGCAGTAGAATCGCTTGAATCCGGGAGGCAGAGGTTGAAGTGAGCCGAGATCACGCCACTGCACTCCAGCCTGAGAGACAGAGTGAGACTCTGTCTCAAAAAAAAAAAAAAAAAAAGATAGCATAAAAAATTTATTATTTTAATGTCTGGAATTGGAACTTTTAGATGTAAAATATTAAAATCTGTATCTGTTAATAATTCCCATGCTTTTATTTGGTAGTGCTGATTTATTTTACAAATCAGTGACTATGAGATTGGTAAGTGCTTTTATAATTAAATTGTGTATCTACACACACACACACACACACACACACAAATATAAATGTTTAATTATATTTAATTATAAAAGCACTTACTAATCTTATCCTTACTAATTCTCCTGGATAGTGTTAAATTAGAAATGTAACTGGGTTTTGCTTTTCTTGTTTTTTTTTTTCCTGTAGCTGTGATATTCAAAACACAGATGATATTATACTACCAAAGAGCAAAGAGAAAGCAGGCAGGTTTTCTTGGGACATTTATCACATTCCTCAATTATTACCTTCCCCTTACTACTTTTCATCCATGATGATTAATATATTTATATCCTCGTGTTGTTGACCTGTTTATATTGACAATATATGCTACTGATAATGTGATTAGCAGGGAAGGAGAGATAAGGAGATGTTACCATATACCAAAGGCCTTCAGAGGAGAGTAAAGCATTCTGTTGCAAGGTTACTCTTGGTGCTAGCATTTAGCTTATTGCAAATTCAGCATATTGCTCTTCTGACATAAATAGAATTATACTACTGTATCTTCCCATTTGTCTGGAGGACAATTATCTGATACTTTACGTATATTCAGAAGTCAGAATACAAGCCCCAAAAGCCCTCAGAGTGGCCACAGTTTGCTAAAAGCAAATGCAATAAATCTTGTGCCTAGTATATAAGGGATATTTTATACATATTACCTTATATAACTCCCATAGTAATCTTTTGTGATAGCCATTGTTGCCACATTTATAGAAGGGGAAATAAATTGAAGCTTCTGAAGAGGTTGTCGACCTTGTCCACAGTCGTCTATCTAGAGAGAGAGAGAGAGGGCTGCAGCAGCTGAGATTTCAGCATGGGTTTGTGTGTCCCCAAATCCTCATGCTGAGTGCAGGTGCTCCCATTTTCAGCCATTTCCACAAAGATTTTTTCAATACTAACTTTGTGACAGGCCCTGGCATCCAGGATTAAAGACAGTTGTACAGAGTCTTATAGAATTCCTTTATCTGTTTTTTTGGCTGCAGTAAATATGAAGGAGACTAGAAAAGAGATGAGGCTAGAGGACAGTGACATTGTCTCCCTTAATGACTGTCACATCTGGAGGGTGAGCACAGCACCTAGTAGGAGCCCAGTAAATATATGTTGAATGGATGAGTGATATTAGTGGAAAGCGATAACTAACTAGGAGAGAGAACCAAATAGGAAAAGGATATAAAATGAAAACCGTAATTGTCTTGGACCATTTAGTGTTTGAATAAGCAAAAACCTTGGTAGCCCCCAGGCGGTGAAGAGCCTCTCAGTGTGCTCACTGATGCCCATAATGATGACTCAGGGCCACTAAGTGACCGTGGTGACCCAGGCCCTGTGCAGCAGGGAGGGAATCACTCATGAGTGTGACATCCAATTTAAAAATAAAGAAGGCATCTAAAACATTTTAGAAAACTTTTCATTAAAAATGGTTTTTTCTCCCTTAAAGTGTGTGAAAGGGCTAAACTTCCTTGTCTTGGAAAAATCAGATATTGGAGTAGCTCTTTCTCTAATGTTACTGGATAAAGGGAGATAATACATCATATAATTTGTTTTCTTTTCCCTAATAAGTTGTAGCATTAAAATTTCATACCAGGTGAATCTTTTAAAAATTCAAATTATATTCTTTGGAAGATACCTTATAAAAAACTATGTATAGTATACAGCATATAACCATCTATAGTACTGTAACAAGTGAATAGTTTACATAAAACAACCTTTTTTGAGCAGTGTCATCTGAGAGGATTATGATGCGTTGAAATAATTCATGTTTGGAATATCATTTAGCTTTTTATAAGGAAAAAATGAGGAAATTATAGGAAACAATTGAAATGATTTAAATTTCATTATTCAACAGCATCGATGCGCTACTTTCTTGTTTCAAGAATGTATCTATTAACAGTGATATTTTGCTTTACAGCTTTTCTGGGAGAAGAGGCTACAAGGACTTAGTGCATCAGATGTAACAGAACAAATTATAAAAACCATGGAACTACCCAAAGGTCTTCAAGGTATTATCTAAGTTCAGTTGAGCAGACATTTATTAAGTACCTACTGCATGCCAGGCACTTTGTCAGCTGCTGTGGCTTCAGCAATGACTGACAGGAGCTCTTTGTTTTAGGAGGTCGTATGCCTTGCTGGATGACGTACCTCTTGTGTTTTTGTAAACCCAGGCAGAATGTACATGAAAAACTTGTATGTTGCAGGGATGCTTCAGTGTAGTATATTATCTTAGATTTTTCTCTGTGTAAAAATTTTGGCTTTAGGTTATGTTCATCATAGAAGTCAACTCGTGCTGCTTTTAGTGCTAGATGCAGATGAGTAACAGAATTTCTTAAGCTTCCTGCTTATAGCAGCATCTGGCCCTACCACCTGCCCTTTCTCTCATCCTCTTACTAAAAGGATAACTAACAGCTCTCCTTCTGCCCCTCCTTCCACAAACTGGTGCTCTAAGTAGCAGTGGAAACAGATGCACTTTGGTCCAGCAACAGCAGCCAGTGAGATCTGGGGTGCAAAACTCAGTGGCTGGTCTACCTTTCTTATTATATGAGAACTCCAAGTTCTAGAGAAGCATTGTTTTTCAAGTATTAAAACTTTGCCATCTAAAGCTTGATATATTGTGGATTGCTCAAAAATCCTCATAATTTATGGTTAGATTACTGCCTTATCCTTTTATTTCTTGGAAATGTTGGCCTTAACTAGTTAAACTGGTTTAGGACCTTAAGGATTACATTTAAATGTGACCATGGTGCCAGTATCTTACAGGTAATCAAGGTGTGCAGTTATGAATTCTCTGGTTTTGGATATTTTGTTAGGTTTTTGAAAAAAGCTGTTAAAGCCACAGGTACATCTTGCATTGACTTTTTCTTTGAAGTCCTGAGACAAAGAAAGTAATTGTCGAGATATTGCTGGAAGTTCATGTTAAAAGCCGCAAGGAGAAACTATACCAGTACTCTAGGAATACATTAGAAGGGATGCTTGAGTATACTCACTTCACAAGGTCTCACCTCATTAAAATAATTAACATTGCTTAGGAAATATAGCCAACTTTTAAAAAGCTTAGTACCTTGGAAAATGGCATTTTAAAGTTCAGTAAAGTATTATAAAAATGCTCAGCTATAAGCAAGAATGAGAATTTTTTTTTTTAAGTAAGAAAAAATGCTCAGCTATTTTGTTACTATTTCTGCAATATGAATTATTTGGTGTATCATATCTATTAAGTAGATATGATATTATCCTTTGCTGCTTTGTCTTACGTCAGTTTTACATATGTGATCCCAAATGAATATAAAAATAGCAGTTGTTTTAGGTCACATAAAGTTTGCTCAGCACATTGAAACATTTCCTTTAACTAGTACGTATTTCTCATTGCAGGAGTTGGTCCAGGTAGCAACGATGAGACTCTTTTATCTGCTGTTGCCAGTGCTTTGCACACAAGCTCTGCACCAATCACAGGGCAAGTCTCCGCTGCTGTGGAAAAGAACCCCGCTGTTTGGCTTAACACATCTCAACCCCTCTGCAAAGCTTTTATCGTCACAGATGAAGACATTAGGTAATGCAGTTTAACATGACTTTTAAAACTTGGGTTTTTACATTCAGGTATATTTTATATTGTTCATTAGGTTCAGTGGCATGTCCAGGAAGTGATATATCACCCAGAAAGTGATACTTTTTTTTTTAACAGAGTTTTTCAGAAACTAATGGAAGGTGAAAAAAGACCATTATAACAAGCACATGCTTGAAGGAGGTATAAATGCTGCATGCCAGGGTCATGGTCATGGTCATGTCCAAAGGACAAGTACCAGATCAGTTGTATTCCCTATGCATCATTTTTGCAGTGTCTTTTGCAATTTGGGATTCTTACTTTCTACTCTACAGAACCTCTTTCTGCCAGGCACAGTGGCTCATGCCTATAATCCTAGCACTTTGGGAGGCTGAGGTGGGAGGATCGCTTGAGCCCAGTAGTTTGAGACCAGCCTGGGCAACATAGTGAGACCCCATCTCCACAAAAAATTTTAAAAAATTAGCCAGGCATGGTAATGTGTAACTGTAGTCCCGGTTACTTGGGAGACTGAGGTGGAAGGACTGCTTGAGCATGGGAGGTCGAGGCTGCAGTGATCTATGGTCACATCACTGCACTCCAGCCATGGCAACAGAGCTAGATCCTGTCTCAGAAAAATAAAAATAAAATAAAGAACTTCGTTCATACGGTCATTCCTTTTCTGATTGCTTCCTTCATTAGTTTGTCTGGAAACCAATCTCTCTTTAAATCAGATGATAGTGGTGATGTTTTTAAGCTCACTTGTTACACAGTAGAGCAAGAAGACTAACAAGAAAGAAAGAAAAAGCCACAGGTAAAGCAGTAAAACAGAGCCAGGAATGAGACAAGACACAAATTATGTCTACTGACATCTTTCACTCTTTCTAAGGCTGGCTCACAAGTTAGGGTTTCAGCAGCAAATGGTGAAAGGAAAACATCCAGCTCAGATTGATAGAATCCAGAAAGTGGAAGCAAACCATTGCACAGGAAAAGCAAAATCACTCCAGTTAGTAAGACCACAGAGCAATTCTCATGTGGGTTTTTTTGACCTCACTATCATTGTGTTATGGTGATACTGTGGATATATTGCATTTCCTTTAAAAATATGACCTTGTATATACATCACTATTTCTGTCCTCTGAATGTAAATCAGTTTTATTGGAGTATTATTCCTAGACAAAACCAGCAGATGGCACTTGTGAATCATCTAATTTTAAAATGCTTTATATTTGTATTATTTTTTTAAATCCGTACAAAGTTGACATGAAAATGTTTTTAAATGGATAAGTCTAGCTAGATTTATAATGGGAAAGCCCTCCTTGGGTTTTGATTATTTTGCAAAGATAAAAAGTGGTACAGAGTTGTATTCATATGCCTTGATGGCATATGAATATGAATAAAGTTTCTTAAAACCTTTATTTTTTAAGAAAACAAAATAAACTGTAAAATCAAGAAAAGGAATCAACTTGCTCATTGGATTGTTCTTACCCTTGAGGAAGAAAATTATTCCAAAGACAAGTTCTTTTCCATCTTGGAATGAATACTGAATTAATCAGCAGGGATTCTACCAGGTCCTTATGGGTGTTGACAGAGGTTCTCTGAGTTATATCACAGGAATGTTGATGGCTTCAACATCAGATCTTTTGATAGTTGAGGAAACTATTTCAAAGCCAATTCTGGATGATTTCCTTTTCGGACAAATTTGTCTAACAAATTGCTCAGTTGATTTAATTGTTATGACAGAAATTTGGAAGAAAATGCTCCTTATTAAATTAGTACATGTTCAAAATAAATTACTGCAAATGGAACTGTTACTCTTTATCTAATTGTGTATCCAATATTCTGTCTACATTAAACCTCCAACTGAAGAGCCCAGCAAGATACATCTCAAGTATTTTTAGCATATTTGATAATATTTGCATTGAAGGGTACTTTAATTTTCTAATACTTTGTAACAGAGGTTTACAAACTTTGCAGCTTAAAACAACACCCATTTATTAGCTTGAAGATCTGTGGGATCAGAAGTCTGGGCCTGTTGTGACTAGGTTCTGTGTTTGGGTCTTACATGTGTCACTGGACTGTGTTCCCTTCTGAAGCTTAGGGCTCTCTTTTTTTTTTTTTTGAGACGGAGTTTCGCTCTCGTTACCCAGGCTGGAGTGCAATGGCGAGATCTCGGCTCACCGCAGCCTCCGCCTCCTGGGTTCAGGCAATTCTCCTGCCTCAACCTCCTGAGCAGCTGGGATTACAGGCACGTGCTACCATGCCCAGCTGATTTTTTGTATTTTTAGTAGAGACGGGGTTTCACCATGTTGACCAGGATGGTCTCGATCTCTTAACCTCATGATCCACCTGCCTCGGCCTCCCAAAGTGCTGGGATTACAGGCTTGAGCCACCGCGCCCGGCCCAGGGCTCTCTTTCAAACTCATATGGTGGTTGCAGAATTCATGCCTTGTGTTTTAGGGCTGAGGCCCCTGTTCTCTTGTTGGCTATGGGATGGTGGCTGTCTCAGCTCCTGGAAGCTGCCTGCAGTTCCTTGTCTCGTTGCTCTTCCATGTACCCCTTCATGCTTCCTTCAGGAAGAGCCTAGCTCCACTAAGGGGTCCTATTAGGTCAGGCTCACTACAATAATCTCTCTCTTGATTGACTGGAAATCAGTTGATTTGTAACCTGAGAGAATTATATAAGGAGTGCACGGGGGTGTGGTGGGGAAGGGAGACTGTTGGGGATCACCTTGGAATTCTGCCTACAGCAATGGGCAAATGATTAAATTTCAGCTTTCACAAATGTGGAAAGTAATGCTCAAGATAGAAGAAATCAATGGCAAATATTAAAGTTTAAGATAAAAATTCTCCATTAAAATTACTGCAGATTGTGCCACTTGTTCCATTTTCCCCGTCTTCCTAATGAGGTTACTCTAGGACAGCTGTGCAGATTCTTGTACTCTGTTATTAGTGAGAGACTGCCAGTGAAACCGATATGTCATTTGTCATAAACTTTGAGTCACTGACCCAGAGGTGAGACTAACCGTATAAGAAATAAACAAATGTGTTCTGCTTGACCCTGCCCCATTACATGAAAATCCGTTGAACTCCAGTTTCTTTTAATATCACAGAGGCTATAGAGCTAAGGCTGACCCAATGACAGCTTCCCTCTTTTTGAAAATTCATTTAGTGAAAGTCTATACCTTTTAATTCTTTGTGTTGTTTCAGAGTTTAATAAAGATATCCAACATTTTTGTGGGTTGTAGTCCATATATGTCACCTTCACTACCTTGGACATAGTCTCATTTGGTCAAAGGGGTGTGATCTTGAGTAGACTGAATATAACTTGGCAACTGGTTGAGCCCCTGTGGAGTGAATACTCAGGGACCCTTAGTGCAATCTTCCATAGCATTGCTCCTCTACCCTTCTGCTGCCCCAGGTTTGGGAAGTGCTGCAATCTGTCTTCCTCAATTATTGGTAGAGAAAATTACTTTTATTTTTCAGTAGAACTCTTAGTATATTCCTTGTTGCATCTTCATCTCCCTCTCTGCATCTTTCCTTATCTCCTTTCTTGTCTCAGGAGGTTTGTCCTGTTTTCTGTTCTGCTGACCCTCCCTCCTCTGTTTTGCTGTATTCTTGTTCTCACTGGAACCTTTACCTACTAGTCTTCTCTCTTCTCTTGTTTTTCTTCAGCCGTTGCCTCTCTGCTTGGGTCTGGATGTCAGTTTCTATTTATCCTGCTTTGCTTGCTAGACACGTTTTAGGATTTTCTCTCTTACCCTCTGGGGGAGCTACTTGGTTTTTTTTTTTTTTTTTTTTTCTTACTTTATAAAGATTAAGTATGTACGGATAGCCTTTCTTCCTGTGCTTTGTTCTTCATTGATGGATCAGAGCTTTCTTAATGACTTGGGGTTATTAGCCATCACTTTTGAGATTCCTTTGTAATCACCGAAACACAGATTACAAAGAGAACACGAGAACATGTGTTCTTAAGCAACTTACTCTCTCAGTTGAAGAGAAGCTTTTCAGTCTCTGTTATCCACGTGCCGGATCATGTGTTCCTGGCTCCTTCGTGGTGACCTGTTGCCTACAGACCTGGGAACCCAGGAGAGAGCTCTCTCCTAACTAACCTAGACACGGAATGTCAGTCAAATCCCAGCTTATCATGGCTCTGCTTCCTCCATCTTTCTCAGTGCTTCCATGAACAAGTCACTTTTCCTTCATTATTTATGCTCCCTCCATCTTTTATTCCTAAGTTATTTCTAATTGTCTTTATAGGAATAAGCCCAAATCTTGACACAGTTGACATTTTCAAAGTTGAAGGAAAGGTTACTGTCGTCAGTCTACTCTTTCTAGAATTTCACGTGTGATGAGGGATAGCTGCCTGTGTGAACATCCCTCTTTTTGGCAAGGCTCATTGGTGAGATTTGATTTGTGTGTAGAAGCAACCTCTGCAAAATCTGAAAAGGCAGTGTATTCTTCTGAGGAATTTAATGATTTTGAAGTAAGGATGAACTTCTATAGCAGCTTCAGTTTGTTATTACTTGCCAAATTCTCAGTACTTTTTAATTCTACTTTTAAAAAGGAAACAGGAAGAGCGAGTACAGCAAGTACGCAAAAAATTGGAAGAAGCACTGATGGCAGACATCTTGTCTCGAGCTGCTGATACAGAAGAGATGGATATTGAAATGGACAGTGGAGATGAAGCCTAAGAATATGATCAGGTAAACTGACACCAGTGAGAGTAACTTGAAAGTTAGATGTTATGTTTTCTTGGCCGGGCACAGTGGCTCCTGCCTGTAATCCCAGCACTTCGGGTGGCTGAGGCAGGCGATTGAGCTCAGTAGTTCGAGATCAGCTTGAGCAACATGGCAAAACCCCATCTCTACTCAAAATACAAAAAATAACTGGGCATAGTGTCATGTGCCTGTGGTCCCAGCTATTCAGGAGGCTGAGGTGAGAGAATCACTTGAGTCTGGGAGGCAGAAGTTGCAGTGAGCCAAAATCGTGCCACTGTTCTCCAACCTGGGTAATAGAGTGAGACCCCATCTCAGAAAAAAAAAAAAAAAGGTGTCATATTTTCCTGTTATTTTCCCTTTATGGGCTCCTCAGCAGTGAATGAAAAAGCTACTCCTCTGTTCGGGTCATGCATGTGCTGTTGTTTGATTCTTCTCGCTGGATTTAAGGACCATATAAGTTATTGCATCCATTTGTTCTCATTCTGGGAGGAAACTGGCACCCCTGCAGTCACTTGCAAGGGATCTAGTCTCCTTTATTAAAGCCAGGTGGAAAACCTCTAAGGTGTCACTAGAGAAGAGCAGCAGCAGAAGAAGCAGACTTTGTCAGGTAGGGAGGAATAGCCGCAGGAGAGGAAGATGGCTGTCATTTCCATCAAAGTAGCCTCCCAGGACATACTGCTTCCTCTTTAAAATTATGGTGTTGAAGTAGGCAAAATCTCTCCCTTTTTCTAGGTTCTCCCTAGCACAGATTTGATGCAGGGAGAACAAGAAAGTTACTGAAAAATATAATAAATATTTTACCTTAAAAAATACAGATTTTAGGCTGGGCATGGTTGGCTCACGCATGTAATCCAAGCACTCTGGGAGGCCAAGGTGGGTGGATCACGAGGTCAGGAATTTGAGACCAGTCTGGCCAACATAGTGAGACCCTGTGTACTTCTTAATTATGAAAATACAATTAGCTGGGTGTGGGGGAATGCGCCTGTAATCCCAGCTACTCCAGAGGCTGAAGCAGGAGAATTGCTTGAACTCAGGAGGTGGAGATTGCAGTGAGCTAAGATCGTGCCATTGCACTCCAGCCGGAGTGACAGTGTGAGATTCCATCTCAAAAAAAAAAAAGAAAAAAGAAAAAATACACATTTTAGGCTGGGTGTGGTGGCTCATGCCTATAACCTCAGTACTTTGGGATGCCAAGGCAAGCGGATCACTTGAGTTTGAGACTAGCCTGGCTAACATGGTGAAATCTTGTCTCCACTAAAAATACAAAAATTAGCCGGGTATGTGGTAGAATAGCTGGAATTTTGTAATTCTAGCTACTCAGGAGGCTAAGACACGAGAATTGCTTGAATCCAGGAGGCAGAGGTTGTGAGCCAAGATGGAGCCACTACACTCCAGCCTGGGTGATGGAGTAAGACGCTGACTCAAACAGCAACAACACAAATAGGCATTTTGAACTTATCTCAAACTCACATTCCAGGCTCATAGCTCTGTGGGCATACAATGTGTTCAGAGGGGCACCTGCCTATCTCCAAGGCTTTCTGTGGTCTCTTGCTTCCATTCTGCTTTGTTTTTACAGACCTTGTCTTCCTTTTTGCACCCCAAAACCGATTTTTATTAGTTTCCTTTGAAGCCAAAACAGATGGAGGGATGGGGGTGCTAACATGATGTCAAGTCAACAGAGCCTCTCTGAGAAAGTGACATTTATGTTGAGCCTGAAAGATACATAGAAGTGAGTCAAGGGAGGTTTGGGTGAAAGTGTTTTCATTAGAAGGAACAGCAAGGAGAAACTTGGTTTATTTAAGGAATGAAGAAAATATCGTGTGTGGTTGGAATGTAGTACGTCTAGGGAGGGGCAGGGAGAAGGTATGGGTGGTGAACCTACTCACGTAGGACCTGTGGATTGTTAGGGAGATGGATGACTGCTTGAGATTGATCCGGAAAATTAGTAGAAATCACTGCAGAGTCAGTAGCGTGATCAGATTTGCTTCTTTACAAGAGCCCTATGGATGCTGCATGAATAAAAGGGTTGGAGTAGGGAAAGCTTGGAAGCAAGAAGACCAGTTGGGACGTTGCTGCGGTAGTCTCGTAAGAGATGACGGTGGCTTTAGGAGGAGGACATGCCGATGGGCTGGGAGAAAAAGAAGAGACGGGTAGATCTGAGATATTATCTGGAGATGGAATCACATGACCAGGTGACAGACTGGAAGTGAGGGTGAGAGAGTAGCCAGGATGCCTCCGGGTTTTCATTTGAGCTGGGTGGGAGGGAATTCTGTTGGGTAGGGGAACAGGCTAAGGGTAGGGATTGCAGGGAGGGTGAGTTTAATTGTTAACACTTCCGTGAGTGCCTTTGTCTTAACCAAGGAGTGGCTTATGCCACAGCAATGCCAAAATCCAGTAATAAATATAATGTCTTACATTTACATGTCCACTCATGGCAGCACTGCTGGGTCACAGTTTCCTGACTGTACAGAATCATTTCAGGCTGGGTGTGGGGGCTCAGGCCTGTAATCCCAGCACTTTGGGAGGTTGAGGTGTGTGGATCTCCTGAGGTCAGGAGTTTGAGACCAGCCTAACCAACATGTTGAAACCCTGTGTCTACTAAAAATACAAAAAATTAGCTGGGCATGGTGGCAGGCACCTGTAATCCCAGCTACTCAGGAGGCTGAGGTAGGAGAATCGCTTGAACCCAGGAAGCAGAGGTTGCAGTGAGCCAAGATCACGCCATTGCACCACAGCCTGGGTGACAGGAGCAAAACTCCATCTCAAAAAAAAGAAAAGAATCATTTCAATCCAGTTTGGTGCTATTCTATTTTAGCTCTTTTTCTCCTCCCTTGTTGAAGACAGGAAGGTGCTGTGTTATTACTTGGATTTTGTTTTCCAAGCTGGCAAGGATGTGTTTATGGGCTTTGATGAGTGTACTTAATATGCTGAAAGTCTTTCAGAGGGAAGTCTGAAGTGTGTTTCTACTGTCCACGGCTTCAGCCATGCCATCTCTGGAGCACAGAGCGGATCTGGATCTTACCTGATACAGCTTCTGCACCATTGCTTCACAGTGGACTCTCAGAAAGCCCTTCTCTTCTGTTGGAACTTTCTGGTTTTCTTTCAGACTTTTCTCATGAAATCACTGTTTCAGATAATCAATGGTCACTAACTGAGGTTTTACTAGACTTTTGCTTCCTTTACAGATTATTTTGCAGATTGACATCCAGGCTATACCCTTGTTTATGTGAGCAAGCCTGTGTTGTAGGCACTGGCACTATACTTATATAGAAGTTGGCAGCTGCTCATTGTCTTGCACAAATGTGGATAATAGTAGTAACAACTAATGTTGAATGATTAGAATTTTAATTGGTTCTTTAAAAGTAGCCATTATTTTGGCATGTTAGGTAGGAAGAGATTTAAATTATGTATGTCACCTTCTAAGCTTGAGAATGGCATTATTAGACCAAGCCATTAGACTTGTAGATTGGGGAAGATTTAGATGTACTTTTTTTTTTTTTTTTTTTTTTTTTTTTTTTTTTTTTTTTTTTTTGAGACGGAGTTTCGCTCTTGTTACCCAGGCTGGAGTGCAATGGCGCGATCTCGGCTCACCGCAACCTCCGCCTCCTGGGTTCAGGCAATTCTCCTGCCTCAGCCTCCTGAGTAGCTGGGATTACAGGCACACACCACCATGCCCAGCTAATTTTTTGTAGTTTTTTAGTAGAGGCGGGGTTTCACCATGTTGACCAGGATGGTCTCGATCTCTTGACCTCATGATCCACCCGCCTCGGCCTCCCAAAGTGCTGGGATTACAGGCTTGAGCCACCGCGCCCGGCCTAGATGTACTTCTTAATTAAGAAAATTACAGTTACCTTGCTCAGATAACCTCATATATACCTAAAAGGTTTAACAAACTAGAGCACGACCACGTGATTTAATCAGCTGTCTATAATAACCTGTGGCATAGGTAGGACTTAATTGGCAAAGGATGGGATGTGGCCATCTTCATGGCTCATAAGAGACAACCAAGGTCCATTCAGGTCTGCCAGCCTCTTCATGCCTCAGCTCTTTCAGTTCCTCCTTATTAGTAAGGTGGATGTTTATTCATTTATTTGTTTGGTTAGTTAAATAACAGGTTGCAATTTACAGTGTTACTTAAATTTTACAATCCTAGAGAAGTGCCAGCTTATTAGACAGATATTTTAGGAGTGATTACAAGAAGAAGATGACTAAAAACAAAGGTGTGAAAATGTTTAGCTATCCATGAGATAGCATATCAAAAATATTTCCATTTGTAGTCACACAGTGCCATTTCACCCAGACTAATCAATAGGAAGACTTGGGTGCACACCTGTCATCTGTAAATGCTCTCATGTAAAAGAAATTGTGAAGTAAAATAAAGTATGAGTAGAAATTTTTCTACATTTTCTCAAAATATATTTGGGTTGGGATGTATCTATTCTGCATTTTCATTTGTATGACCTTTGAATTCTCTTTTTATGCTGAAGTAGTTAATTGTAGATAGAAAATATTGCATAAACATATAAAAGAACACACGTGATTTCTTTGGAAAATGAACAGGATAGTAAAGGTTATCATCAAAATAAAACACTTAAAACAGTGAGGTGATATGCTGAGCACTTTTTATTTATGAAGTGCTATAACTAAATGCTCACCAAGACTGTGAAAACATGATTCTAAGTGGAATTTATTCTCTAATTCTTTTTCAAGTATTGCTGACCTCTCACCTGATAAATCACTGGATTACTTAAGTTTGTTCTTTTTTTTTTTTTAAACAGGTAACTTCTGACCGACTTTCCCCGAGAGAAAATTCCTAGAAATTGAACAAAAACGTTTCCACTGGCTTTTGCCTGTAAGAAAAAAATGTACCCGAGCACATAGAGCTTTTTAATAGCACTAACCAATGCCTTTTTAGATGTATTTTTGATGTATATATCTATTATTCAAAAAAATCATGTTTATTTTGAGTCCTAGGACTTAAAATTAGTCTTTTGTAATATCAAGCAGGACCCTAAGATGAAGCTGAGCTTTTGATGCCAGGTGCAATCTACTGGAAATGTAGCACTTACATAAAATATTTGTTTCCCCCACAGTTTTAATATGAACAGATCAGGAATTCTAAATAAATTTCCCAGTTAAAGATTATTGTGACTTCACTGTATATAAACATATTTTTATACTTTATTGAAAGGGGACACCTGTACATTCTTCCATCATTACTGTAAAGACAAATAAATGATTATATTCACAGACTGATTGGAATTCTTTTTGTTAAAAAGCACACATAATAAAGAGCCCCTCATTTACCTTCCTGATTTAGATTCAACTCTGATCCCTGGGCCTTAGGTTTGAAATGGAGGTGGTGGAAGGTAGTGCATACATTTGCAGTATGAACTATTGCCTCTGGACATTGTGAGAATTGTGCTTTCACCAGAATTTCTAAGAATTGCTGCGAAATACCATCTAGCATGTGTCATTTTTTTTCTTGCCTGTGACTCAGACTTTTGGTAGTTCTGTAAGAATAAGGCCTTTTCTAACCTTGGGCACGAATTAGATTCACAAGTACCCTTCAGGTGTTACTAGAAGTTGTCCATGTTTATTGGTTTTTAAAGAATGTTTGGCACTCAGTAACGTCCACTAGCTTACTGAATTAACAGGTGTAGGTCAGACTCTTGGCTATAATGAGAGGCAGCTTCTAGGCAGAGTTGCTTAATGAAAGGGTTTGTAATACTTTACAAACCATTACCTGTACCTTGCCTGGCTTCCAAAATATTAACATTATTTTTCTGTTGAAACTCATGAGCGTAACTTTCATTACCATTTGAATTTATTGATATTTAATTATAAAAACTAACATTACTTATTAAATAAGTTCTAAAATCAAAACATAATCTGATACCAAGGAAGGGAGTGAGTGGTTATAAGCAAATTAAAACGAATTTTGATAGAGCAAAAGTAGAATTATTCTATAAAAAAGGTGTATTTATTTCTTCTTAACTCTTGAGTTCTTTTAAAATTAGACCCTAAATGATGCAGTCAGGAGTGTGGACAGTTCCACATGAGTGTCACCTGTACATTTTGTTAGCACTACCTCCAGTTCCCAAGGCAGGGAAGAAGAGGGGAATAGTCAAAGCAATATGAGTGGCTAGGTGTGGGCTGCTGTTTTTCTGGGACTTTTATGCCAAACTACATAAACACTTTTTGGAATTTCTGATTTATACTCAACTTTGATCCCTGGGCCCTAGGGCCATTAGGAGAAGTTTCCTTGGAGAAGTCCTGCTGATGGATGGTCAGGGAAACTTGTAGATTCTGGGAGGCCGATTGGTCAAGGATGCCTGCCCTGGCCCCATCAAATTGTCCCAACTGGGGTGGGGTGAGGAGTCATAGTGATTTCTTTTTAAAAAGCCAGTTTGACTAGTGAGAATGGATGTCCAAGGGCTTTTCTCTTCCTCCCCCAAGTCCATGATTCTTCATTTGTGATCAGGGTTGGGAGCTTCACCTTGGTGATCATATATTCTTTTTACAAACCAATCCAACCAAGATATATGTGCTTTTATAAACAGCTTGTAAAAGCACAAACACAATGTATACACATATAAAACTTCGATTTTTTTTCTTATATACTTTGCTCAGGTGGAGAACAAGGTATGAAAGCCATTATATGGTGTCCCTTGGGGACCATCCATAAGTCTAGGGTGTTCCCAATATACCCACAAGACAATATCTTCAAAACTTCATCACCTGATCCCCACAAACCTACCACCCTCTTGCATTCCTTCACTCTGGTAAAAGCAAGCCATCTTCTCCAGTTGTCCAAGGCAGAAGCCCTGGAGTGAGCCCAAATGCCACTCTTTCCCTTGCTTCTGACTTCTCATCAATCCTATTAGAACTACTGACTGCACCCCATGTCTCTCCTCCATCCCCATGATCACTGCCTTTGTATGAACTTCCTTTCCTGTCTGCTGGACTTTCAGTGGCTTCCTTTTTTGCTCACCTATCCACTTCCTTCCCCTTCCCTCTCTCCATCCCCCTTTTTTCCCCCTCCATATAGTCATCAGAAAGATCATCAAAACAGGCAAATGTGACCATATGATTTCCCTCACTTATCTTTGTATGCAGCTTAGAGTGGTTTTTAAGAGCACGCACTTTGAAATTAGGAGAACCTGTGTCTGAATCCTGATTTTGCCATTTGTGTGACTTGTCAGGTTATTTAATCTCTTGGAGCCTGTCCCTCCTCAGTGAAATAGGAGTAATAATACCTACCTCATAGAGTTGTTGTGAGGATTCAATGAGATAGACTGTTTCTAAAGTGTGTAGCACAGTGCCTGGCACATAGTGGGTGCTCACATTGGAGCACACTATTGTCCCTATCCCTGCAGGTGTTTTACCTCCCTTCCAAGAGGCATTTGCTAATAACCCTAACTACCGCCTATCCCTGTGACACTACTTTCTGCCTCAGCACCTAGTTTATTTTCCTTGTAGACATTTTCTAAATCTGTATTTTATTTATTTGTTGGCTTTTTGTCTATTTCTCTACTAGAATGTAAGCTCCATGAGAGCAAGGATATGCTTGTCTGATTTCCTGTTTACAGCCCCAGCACTTAGCTGAGTGTCTGGCACCTAGTAAGCACTCAGTAAATGTTTGCTTAATAAATGGAAGAATGGTCAAAAGGTTCTTCGTGATCTGACCCCTGCTTGTCTGTCTGGCCTCATCCTGCCACTATCTTCATTGCACCTTCAGCTCAAGAAAAACCTCTTTACTTGCTTCTTTGAAGTGCCCCTTGGGCCTCTGTGTCTTTGTACCTGTTGTTCCTTTTGCCTGAAACACCCTTGGCCTGCCTGTCTACACGGTGAGTTCCTAATCATTGGTGAAGTCTCAACTCAATGGCTACCTCCTCTGTGAAGCTGTCCCTGATTTCTCCAGGCGGATGTACTTTCCCCCTTCCCAGTTCCCACTGCACTTTGTAAATACCTCCATGGAAGCACTTTATTGTATTGTATTGTAATTTTTTTGCATGTCTGTTTCTACTATTAGACTGTAAGCACCGTGAAAGCAGAGATTGTGTTTTTTTCATCCTGATGTTCCCAGAGCCTAGCCCAGTGCCTGGCACATAATAGTTTGTCATTAAATATTTGTTGAATGAATCTGTGATTGAACAAAGAGTCATGCAGTTGGAAAGTGTTAGAAGCTGTATGTATTATAAAGGAAAGAAATGCCCTTGGTGGCTTCCAGGGTATTTTTTTTTTTTTTTTTTTGGTCTAAAAAGGAGATCTAGAGAGTGTTATACAATCTATTTGAATATAAGATTACTCGTTTGGATTTTAAAAATAATATAGATCTTCATAAATAATTGCAAAGATATAAAAAAGCTTTGTGATCTCTCAAATGCTATGAAGTCCAAAATAAATATTTGCACTATTAGTATTTCCATAGTAAATGCTATGAGAAAATGTACAGCAATAAATTTTGAAGCTTTAAAAACGTTTGTGTAAGTCATCTTCAATGACTTAATTCATGAAGGACATCTTTGGATCATGTTTCTTGGGCACAGGGGACATCAGACTGCGGGAGTGGGGTCCCAATGTTCACCGGGTGGGGAAGGCAGGGTACACCAGTCAGTTACAAGCTAATTAGCTTGGAGTAGCTGTGGGTTTGGACTTGGAGCAGCAGCTTGTCAAAATGAATGTCTCAAAGGATCTGGAGTGGACTTTAAAATTTCAGTTTGCATGCTGGTTTTCTCAATAAGGGCACATGCAAATTTTATGGGAAAATAATTTTTTCAATTATTTGAATTTTAATGATGGGGAAACAAAAAGTTTTTTTATTTTCTCACATTTATATAGCATTTTATAATTTATGGAGCACTTGCACCTCCATTAATGTCATCTTTGGATTTTAATCACATGTAAGCCATGTAATATGTACATATTCTTCTTATCTTCGTTTATGAGTTAAGGAATATAAGACCCAGACAAGTTAAATGACTTATCCTAGCCAATAAGATCCAGAGAGGGAAATTTTAATGTAGAGGTTTTCTGTTTCTAGAACGCCATGCAACCTCCAATGCTATTCTCCACTCAAGTCTTAAGCTGACAAAAAGCAACACAGTTTGGTCTAACAAGTACAGTATGACTGTGGCCTGAAGGCAGAGTGATTCTTCCTAGGAAATCTGGTTCTTTTGTGAGTGACCAGTCAAAGCTTTTCCAGTAGGCCGCCCTGCTGAGAAATCTTTACTAGGATTATTTATCTTATAAAAGAGGTGAGACTAGGTAAAGCTTCTTAATCACAGAATGTTGGGAATTATTTTTATCTGATGGTTAGCATTTTCTTCTTAGTACTTTCAGCTTTTTGCCTCATAAACTTGATGCTCTGAGAAGTCTGGCAGCAAGATGCAACTGAACCGTAGGCCCTGGGGCAAGAGTCCCCAACCTTTTTGGCACCAGGGACTGGTTTCATGGAAGACAATTTTCCCACAGACCAGGGTAGGGTGAGGTGATGGTTTTGAGATGAAAGTGTTCCACCTCAGATCATCAGGCATCAGATTCCTATAAGGAGTGTGCAACCTAGATCCCTCACATGCGCAGTTCACAATGGAGTTCATGAGCCAATGAGAATCTAAAGCCACGGCTGATCTGAGAGGAGGCGGAGCTCAGGCATAAATGCTCACTCAGCTGCTCAGCTGCTCACCTGCTCACCTCCTGCTGTGTGGCCGGCTTCCTAACAGGCTGAAGATCAGTACCAGTCTGCTGCCACCTGGGAGTTGGGGCCTCTGATGTAGGGGATGTGTAAAACCATTTTCGGGGAGTGGGAAAATAGCTGACCTTTTAATATTTGTTTTTGGAAAATAACTGACCTTTTAACATTTGTTTTTATCTAATGTTTTTGTGATTCTAATTTTTGAGTGTTTTCTTATAAACATATTAGTAGAATAGTACACGTATATAATTTATGAGTAAATATCCATACATTTGGAAATACGTGTTTTGGAAAGGATGTATTGGCAAAGGAGTTGTGAGACCACCGCTCCAGTGCAGGACTCCTCATCAGGGGTCCATATTTCCCTGGAGTCAAGGAGCCTGCCAGACTCTTGCCATTACATACACAATTTTATGACAACGTGCCTTTCCCCTGGGGTAGTATTAGTAGCTTATGTAAAATTCTCAATGGGGATGTATATCCAAGAATGAGCCACCGAGGGCTGGTCTAGTGATTTCACTCCACTCTTGAGGCAGGATGGCTGGCACATAAAAATTTAGATCATCTGCAGCTTGATATTTTGTTATTGTGGTTGCATTTGTTGGTAGGCTCCAACTGACTTTCCATTTTGACGTGATAAATTAGTGTTAACAAAATACTTAATACACTGGCCTGCATATGATAATGCATTTCATAAATGGTAGCAACCTCTTCCCTCACAAACAAACAAACAAACAGAAAACACTGGTAAATCATTAGGGATTGGAACATGCTTTTGGGGTAGTTACCTTGATTTTTGCTGACTGGATAAATATTCCCTGGACTAAAAGAGAACCAAAGCAGGGAGTTAATTGTGTGTGTGTTGGGAGAGATTGACAGCAAACAAGAATATGCTTGTTGAACACAGCATGATTCATACAAAGGCCTTACACCCAACAATAGCTAGTTGTGTGAACATAGAAACATTTGGAAACTTGAGGGGACTGATACAGAGAGCAACATGGTAGAATGTGCTGTTAAGAATGGATGCCTTCTTTTAAACCTTTCTCTTCCCCTCCTCTGTCTGCTACAAGAGCCGAGTCACTTAGTAAAAGTTTACAAATCAGAAAGCTATAACCCTACAACTATGACTTTTATTTTAAGAAAATCTTGTGGCTTTTTGGAACAAACAAGATTTTGGTTTAACAGCAGCTTCTGTGAGAAGAGGATGAATTAGTCACCTAACTCTGAAAACATTTAACACTGGGGGTGGAGTGCTGGGGGAAGGGTGAATGCATTATTACTCATTGAGTCATACACACTCAACCTTACTGGAACTTTGCATTCATTCAAGGAATGGTCACAATCTTCGTTGTTGTTTTTCTTCCTCTTCTTTTTTTTTTAAAAAAAATGAAATTCTATAGGCTCTACTGCCATATTCTTAAAGATCAGTGGAAAGGCAAGAGGAAATATGGGTGAAAGTTAAAGAATGGAGGTAATTCAACCTACTCAGGGAAATTTTCTCCTGCTAGGGTGGGACTGAGGTTCCTGGTTTTTTGCTGACTCTTAGTCAGGTGTTGTTCTCAATGTCTAGAGGCTGACCCACATTCCTTGGCTCCTGGCTCCCTTCATGCTCCTGTCATCATTGTTTTTTTTTTTTTTTTTGAGCTAGAGACTTGCTGTGTTGCCCAGGCTGGAGTGCAGTGTTGCAGTCTTGGCTCACTGCAGCCTCTCTGCCTCCTGGGTTCCAGCGATCCTCCTGCCTCAGCCTCCTGGGTAGCTGGGATTACAGGCACACGCACCACCACTCCCGGTTAACTTTTGTGTTTTTAGTAGAGACGGGGTTTCACCATGTTGGCCAGGCTCGACCTCCTGACCTCAGGTGATCCGCCTGCCTCAGCCTTCCAAAGTGCTGGGATAACAGGCATGAGCCACCTCGCCCAACTGACTCCCTTCATCTTTTTTTTTTTTTTTTAATTGCATTTTAGGTTTTGGGGTACATGTGAAGAACATGCAAGATTGTTGCATAGGTACACACATGGCAGTGTGATTTGCTGCCTTCCTCCCCTTCACCTATATCTGGCATTTCTCCCCATGCTATCTTTCCCCAACTCCCCACCCCCTCCCCGTCCCTATTGCCCTTCATCTTTATAGCCGGAAATCAGGTCAAAGTTTTCTTACTGCTCCAAGTTCCACTTCTGCCTCATGTGTTTCACTCCAGCCAGAGAAACTTCTCCGCCTTCAAGAACTCATTTAATCAGATTAAGCTCACCCAGCTAATCCAAGATAATCTTTCCATTTTGAGATTTGGAACCTTAATTGTACTGGCAGAATCACTTTGGCCATGTAACCTAACATGATTACAGTTTCTAGACATTAGGGCATGGATAAGTTTTTGGGGAAAGCGCATTCTGCCTGCCACACGCTGTTAGCTGCAAGTAACAGAATATCAGTCTCAGATGGTTTAAGCAATAAATAAATGTATATTAAATGTATCTAAAAGACAATTCTAGGCTACTTTAGATTCTTAATGGGAACCACCAGGGCCCTAGCTTTGCCTCTGTGTAGCTCTCTAGCCATGGCCTCTCCTCCATGAATTGACTTCAGCCTCAGCTCTGTAGCAAGATGGTTCCAGGTGACATGCCCAAACACGACAATGGCAAGCAAGAGAAGATAGAACTCTTCCTATGCCTGCTTTTATTTATGTTATTTATTTACTCTTTTAAATATGTGGGGATAGCTCCCGTGTAAGGCCCCCTAATGTGTGGGCCTCACCAGACGGTGAGCTTGAGCCCAAACACAGTTTCCTGCTGGAGGCAGTTGAGCTATGGGAAAGAAGGAACTAAGAAATGACTGATGTTGCAAAGGTTTCTATTTCTGACTACAATGTCGCTTGGGCAAGGGTCGTGTGGTTTTGTTAGACATTATGTCTCCACTAGGCCTCTGCATGACCTTTACGACTTTACTTTTCAAGAAGTTTTACCTTATCTGCATGACCGCCTTGAACCCTAGATAATGACTTTATGGCTTAACTTGTGACTCTTAGGTATTGTTATTCACAAGTGTGTTTTGGTAAAAACAGATAAAGCATACCACCCGCCCACTTTTATGATCCTTGAATGTCATGCTTAAGATTGTTTTCGTGATCCTATATTTTGTAAATTTCCATTCCTCTTATTGTTGATTGTGTAAACACCTTTGATCTTAAGGTATATCTTGAGACCCTGGACAAAAATAAATTCGCTGTTTAGGCGTTGCCTTTTCAGTCCTCCAGACACCAGCTTTTCTGTCTCTCTTTATTTTTGCGCACCCCCTCTTTCAGGTCGGGACCCTCTTGCTGGCCAAGACTCCCCGGCGGATCTTCCTTTGCCCACAAAATATATGATAGAGATAGAATCTCAGTATGTTGGCCAAATTGGTCTTGAACTCCTGATCTCAAGCAATTCTGTCTTAGCTTCCCAAAGTGCTGGAATTACAGGTATGAACCACGACACCCAGCCACATGCCTGCTTTTTAGAAGGCCCCAAAGACTTTCCCTTGTACCTCATTGGCTAGAATTGGTTAATACGCCCATCCCTAAACAAGTCGCTGAGAAAGGGGTTAGAATTACCTCAGATGGCTTAGATTAATCATCATATGGAAGTGT